CCGCGGTCGGGCGGGCCAGCGGCGAGAGCTCGGAGAGCCGAGGAGGGGGCTAGCGCCAGGGAAAGGGGTGGCCGGCAAAACCCGGATCTGGAGTGCTCGTGGGCTCCGCGGCGCGGGCTCCACCTAGCAGTTCGGCAAACGCTTGGAGGTGGGAACGGGAGGGCTGCTATAGAGGCTTCCCTTTCAGGGTTTGTCAGACAAAGGGTACCTCTCCAGTGGCTTCGAGGCTCGCCTCGGCTCGCGCTCTCTCTGTCTCTCTCTCTCTTTCTCTCTCTCTCTCTCTCTCTCTCTCTCTCTCTCATTCTTTCGCTCTCTCCCCTCCTCTTCCTCCTCCGTCCCTCCCTCCCTCTCTCCCCCTCCCACTCTTCATCACCCCCACTTCCTCCTCCTTTCTCCTCTGGTCTTCCTCTCCAGTTCCACCCTAGGTGAGTAAACGACATCAGCTTGAAAGTCCTGCCAGTGTCTCATTTTTTTCAGGTGCGAATTATTCCGTATTTCCATTATGCAAGTACCGAGTCTGAAAATGTTTCCTGCCTTTGGTCCATTTTATGTTCCTTCAAACTTAACCTGCAAGTTCATTGCACAGTTTAAAGTATCCCTGTCTGGTGATCAATCGTGGAGATTCAATTATCTTATTTCACAACATCAATGGAAATTACCATAATGAATACAGAAAGGTGCCGATTCCAAAGCCATGCCTTCTGATAGAGGAAAAGTCTGGTCAAGTTAAATGAGTGACCTTGGTCAATTGCTGAACCTTTTGGTGCCTTCTTTGTAAAGGAGAGTGTTGAGTAGATAATTTGTAAGATCTTTTCCTGCTCTAAAATTTCGTGATTTCGAATAGCTAAGATGTTATTTTCTATACTAGTACACTCAAATCGCTAAGATTTATCATATTCATTCAACAAGCACAGTACATCCGTAGCTAAATTTCCCAAATTGTATTTGATTGTATACATTTAGAATGATCTAACAACTTGTAGGAGCTCTTTAAAAGGTAACATCAATCCTAGTATATCTGAAGAAACTGAAACCTCATTAGAATTAAAACCATACCCAACACAAAGTGACAGTTAAAATCTCATTCATTCTTTAAAGCTCAACTCCAATCCAGCATTCTCCAAGAAGCCTCTTCTCACCAGGATTCCCTCCCCAAAAATCACTCCTTTCATGATACCCTGAAACCCTTTGATGATATCTCTTCACTAACACCTATTTTATTCTGCCCTTTTCCTTATTCTTTTTTAATCATTAATGGTTTGTCCATTTGCCTCTTCAGATTACAGTTTTTCTTGAATGCAAATTCCTAGTTTTAATTATCTGTATAAGGAAAGATTATATCTACAGTCCTTTGCGCATAGGTACTCCTTAAAAAAAAAATCAGGGGTGGGAAGGGAGATTTAATGATATTGCTAAATTCTGACCAACTAGATGGTCACAAGCTGAAGTTAGGCTATTTGAATTTGCCTAATACAGGACCTCCATGAACTCCCCTGGGTACTTAAAGAAAATACAAATTGACATCTGGAGTCACTTGTTACTTAAATAGTTTTGGAAAGAGTAGACTCTAGCCAATTGTGACAAGAGGCTCTTATTTGTAAAGGAGGAAAAATGGAAGTTACTCAATTCATCTCCCAAATGCTTAATGGTTGTATTAAGAAAAGTAATAAAAATAATATTGTAAGTATATATATATATAATGACAAGTATATATATTAAAGATGATTAGTGGTAGCATCAGAAATATTAAATACATACTTAATATTTATTTAGATCGATAAAACATATATAATGACAATATACAGATATTAAAGATCATTAGTGGTAGAATGAGAATATTAAATAAATAGTAGCTATAGATCAGTTTTTAGAATCAGCTTTAACACAACACCAGAGGTCTGGAGGGATGCAGGAAAATGAAATTTCAAAGTAAAAGTTTTATATCTATACACACACACACATATATGTACACACATACATATACATATATATGTATCTATATAAATGAAATGTTAACTGAAAACTAAGCATAGTCAGTTAAATAAGTAATTGAAAGTGTTCACCACAGAGGAGCTGACCACAAATAACCAAAATTACAAAGACAGTAATGAGGGAGAAAGAACCAAAAATCGGGGGTGGGAGGTGTGAATAAAAATAACCGATGAGTAAAGAAAAGCAATGAAAGAAAGATAACAGATTAATTGTTTATATAATTAATCAAATGTCAAGGCAACATTATTTAAGGCAGCTGCTTATATTCTAACCTCAAACTTCAAGCTTCCAAATCATTTTTAATCTCATGGACATAGTCTTCTATATCTGATTTAAGACATAAAGCATCCCACTTCGTTGCCAGGAAATCCATGACGCTTGCCAATGTTTTTCTAAGGTGAAGCTTCCATAAAAATAAAATAAATTCTGTGTCCTCTTAGCTACTATATTTAACACCTTCTTCTCAATGAGGAGACATCATACAGATGATGTTTGAGCACAGATACTATCATATGACGTAACTGTGCTAACTAGAGTGGTTTTTTTATAAAAGATGGCACTGTTGGTTTCAGCACCATTAAAATTGAAAAAACTAATTTTCACCAAAGGGAAAAGGGCTCCAAAAATGAAAATAAAAAGTAATTATCTAATCAAATAAGAAAAAAAGAATTAAAACATTTAAACGACTATTAAAATTTTTAGACCAAAGACCCTTTCAAATCAATAAGAAGTATACTAAGATCCCCAACAGTATGGAAGTTGATAGAAGACCTTAAAACCATCTGTTCACAGAATAAATACAAACGGCCAATAAATGTAAGGAAATATGTTCTGCCTATAGAAATCTAATACATAAAAATATGTCCAATTAGGAGATCTATCATATTTCTTGTTTTTCCCATAAAATTAGGTGAAATAGCAACAGTGCTCTATTACTAAACGCTAACGAAAGTGTGTTGAGACAGTCATGCCTCTATGCTAGTAATATACACTGACACAATTGCTCTAGAAAGAAAGCTGACAATACGAAACAACTGCTTTATAGAATATATATGCCACTAAATCCAGTGTTTCTATTTATAGATATCTCTTCTACAGAAATAAGCAAAGATATGGACAAGGATTTTGTATAATGATATACATCTCAGCCATAATTGCTATAAAAGGGGAGATGGTATGTAATGTTTACATATTCAAAGTAATCTTGTTTTTTTCATACTCAACAAAAGTCCCCTTATCTGAATAAAATCAATAGTTAGTGGGAAAAAATTGATTAAAGCGAAAATAATTTTTAAAATGATGCATACATACTGTATTAGTTAAGACTCAATTTGGCTTCAAGCAACAGAAACAAAAAATAGCAGTGACCTAAACAAGACAAATTTGTTTCTTTTTCAAATGAAAATCTAGAGGTAGGTGGTCTAGTGCAGGTATGGCCATCAAAAGCATTCCAAACTGAAATAGACACTTTCTGTCTTCTTGCTCAGCCGTCTGTGGCCACTATTCCTAATTTCAGTTCCAGTAATCACACCTACTTTGCAAGAGCAAAGATGGAAGAAGGAGGAAGAGAAGAGCATTCTTGCATCCAGGGAAAGTTTCCTAAAGTTGCATACACCATTTTCCCTTTCATTCCATCCTTTACATGGGAAATGTAGACTACCTTAGGCAGTCATGTGTCCAAGTGAAAATCAGGATTCTTTCATGATTTAGCTCTTCCTCATCCTTTGACTTACCATTGCATACCACCCTGGGCCAGGCTTGCATATATTAGTCTTTCAGTAACAAAATGCATGGATAATGCACACACGTGACAGTGCTACTCTCACATGAAATGACCTTCTACTTCAATCAGATGTAAGCTTTCACAAGATTTCCAATTACTGAGCTGTTGCCATCAGGGACAATACTCTCTAATACTCAGTCAGATAGCCGCAGACAGTTACTATCTTAAATGCTACTGGGCCTAAATTCACTGA